GTATCTGCATGCACTTACTTGACGCAGTCGCATGCATGCAAAGCAGCAGCAGCATCAGCAGCAGCAGCAGTAGTGCCACTTGCTGAATGAGATGTCACTGTTGCGCAAGCAAAAGAGATTTCATGGCGCAAAGGAGATTTCATGGCGATTCAAGTTGATCATGAGGGATTTCATCAAAAATTCGTGGGGGCAATCTATTACAATAGGTAAGAGGTAAGACATGTGGATAGATGCGCGCCAAACGTCCGGCTGTAGGCAGGGGTACGAGGCCGGACAAGATGTTGATGTAGACGATGAAATGGGTTTTTATAAGCATGAAGATGCTTGTGATGCAAAAGCTTCGATTGGTTGCTTTTCGAGTCGAGATACAGAGCATGGGCGCTAACGCAGCAGATGGGCAGATGATTGGGGAGAACAAGACGGTCGATGGCGTATGTACAAACGCGATGTGGGGCATGTGCTAGAGACGATGAAGAGAGCCGAGGCCAGCTTAGCAAAAGACGTCGCCGGCGTCGTTGAGGTTGTAGGTGATGACGCCGAGCTCGAGCAATCTCTTGTAGGACCAATCCGCAGCAGCAGCCTTCCAAGTCCACATGATCCAGCCACTGCCAGTCTCGTAGACGCTCCTCTGAGTGTCGAACATCCTCTTGAGGTTCGCCTTGTACTGGCTCGAAAAGCCGTTGCCGTTGCCAGACTTGGAGGCATCGCAGGCTCCGCGTCTGGTGCTACCTGGGAACGAGCCGTCGTATCGAGCGCCAATGCCGCGCCCATTGAGGTACTTGGCGCAATCAGTAAAAGCTGCCGTCCACTCTCCAACGATCGTCCACAAGTTTGGCTGACTCTGACCGATCAAAGCTCTGTTCTGGCACAGGCCACGCAGACGCTCTTCCTGCGTCTGCGCAATCTTGCCAACGTCAAACATTGTGTAGATGTGCGTGTCGAGCACAACCTGCTCGTATTGTGGAGGTTGGAATTGCCCCTGCCAAGCGCTGAGGGGTTGGAAGCCATCGTGAATGGAGATGGAGTAGTCGGTTGGTTGAGATCCTCGAGCATATCGCACGGCGTAGTACGCGTCGTTGTAGAAGGATCGGGTGAAATCCAGACGGCCGTCTCCGTTGGTGGTGAGGGGCTCATTGAGCAGCTGGATCTGAGTGACCGTGTCGCGGTCGTTGACGTATCGCTGAGCAAGCGTCTGGAGCACGTTCTTGGCACGGTCCGCAAATCCTTGGTTGAAGAACCAGTCCGCGTTGCCCCTTCGACCGCTGTTGTCGAAGCCGTTCTGGCTGCCTGGAGCACCATGCAAGTCGATCTGGACTTTGAGTCCCTGGTTGCGCGCCCAGGTGACACCTTTATCCAAGTACGAAAGCTGGTTGCTCTTGACATATTGATCCCCACTTCCCTTCTCGAAGGCCCAGTATCCAATCTGGATTCTGCGGGTACACCATCCCGCAAGTAATCCAACGTCAGAAAAAGATAACGGTAATTGCGGATTGCGTGTCATCGCCTTCTTACCTGACGTGGTTGAGACCGGCCGCCTTGATCTGCCTCAGG